CACTGCTAGCTGAACAATCCACAGTTCGAACCCACCAGCAGCTTCATAGGAGAAAATGCCTGGAGATCTGCTCTCCTAAAGACTACAGTCCAGGAAACCCTGTGGGATGCTTCTACTCCTATAGGGTCACTATGAGTTGGGATCAGCACGACAGCACACAACAACATAATTCATATACTGAAAATGAGGAGGACAATAATTACTTCTTAGTAAGTCCTTACCTGCAATACAGTCAGCATTTTTCTCCTGTGGTCAGTGAGTCCTTGAAATATAGCTTCTCCAATATTAGTTGTGCAACAAGTACAAAATACATACCAGATTTCAAAGATTTAGTACAATATAAAGACTATAAAATTGTTCTGTTGATTCCTGGTGTGGGGATGTAGGATAAGCACTTGACCATAAGGTCAGTTTAAACCACAAGGCCAGTGGTTCAAACTCACCAGCTGCTCCTCAGAAACCCTATATAGGGTTGCTATGAGTAAGAACCAACTTGATGGCAGTTGACAACAACAATGGTGATTACATGTTGAGATGTCAATATTTTGGATATATTGGGTTAAATAAAGGAGCCCTGATGGTACAATGATTAAGCAAGCACTTGGCTGCTAACCATAATGTCAACACTTTGAGCCTACCAACCACTCTGTGGGAGGAAGAGCTGGAAATCCTCTCCTCCAAAGACTGGTGTTGTTAGATGCCTCCAAGTCAGTTCTGACTCATAGTGACCCCATGTATGGAACGGCTTCAAAGAGTTGATGGAAAAATTCCATTACTGCTTAATTCAATTTTTTCCATGAACTTTTTGAAGCCCGCTCAGATAACAGAATGAAACACACGCAAGTCTTGCGCCGTTTTCACAACCATTGCTGTTTGTTGCATTGTGGCAGCCACGGTGTCAATCCCTCACATTGAGGGTCTTCTTTTTCATTGGCCCTCTACTTTACCAAGCATAGGGTCCTTCTCCATCCAGGGAAAATCTGATGGGGCAGTTCTACTCTGCCCTATGAGATTATTATGAGTTGGAATGGGTTTATTTTGACTGGTTAGCTGGGTTACATATGATATATGTTGTGGCACTGTAAGATAAGTGCTGTTGGACTGGACTGCTAATCACAAGGTCGGTGGTTCAAACCCACCAGCCTCTTCTCAGAAACCCTATACAGGGTAGCTATTAGTCAGTACTTAGCAAGAACAACAAACTATTAAAATTATTTTCACAAGTTAATTTTTACTTTTGAGAATGTGGCCGCTAAAAATTAGAAATGATAGATATGGCCCGCACTTGACGTCTATGGGTCAGCATTGCCTTACGTTATGCCAGTCACTGCGAGGACTGCCTGGCCTGGATTTTCAGACTTAACTCTCGCAACAGCCTGATGAGAGAATCGCTCTAATCTCCACTTTCCAAATGAGAAAGCTGATGATAAAATAGGCTAAATAGTGTCCCCAATGTTGATGCATAGATAGCACAACCGATCTGACTGTGGAGCCCTAGCATGTGACCTCAAATCTCTCCAAACCACATTAAAGTCCTATTATCTGCTATGAAGACTGACTGACATGTTGCCTATTCTGGTACTCGGAGGCTCCACTGCAGATGAGGGAAGCAAGCTTTTGGTGAAAAGATGGGCTGATCTTGAGCCAGGGCAGCATTTAATATCCTGACTCTTGAGTTTACTTCTCCCAAATCCACATTTCCTTGCACCCCCCACCCAGGACACCAGCCTCGCCTAATCTCCCCACTTCAACTCATGTGGTAACTCCCTTTTCTATAAAAGCACTGAAGTGCAAACCACAAGTTCAGCATTTCGAACCCACTAGCCACTCTGCAGGACAAAGATGAGACTATCTGCTCCCACAAAAGATTTTAAAAACCTTGGAACTCTATACAGGGTCACTATGAGTCAAAACCAACTCCATGGCACTTAGCAACATAACTCTTGAATTGTCCTCTCTTTTAGTTCAATTCTTCTCCTTCATGGGTGTGTGTAGCATCCCTAGGTGGCACTCAATTGCTAACTGAAAGGTTGGAGATTCGAGTCCATCCAGAGACCCCTGGGAAAAAAAGCCTAGAATTCTACTTTGGAAAAAACAGCCACTGGAAACCCAGTGGAGCACAGTTGTACCTTGACACAGATGGGGTTCCATGTATCAGACTCAATGACAACTGTGTTTTCTGTTTTAGTTATGTGCGTACCCACTAATGACATTGACAGTTTCTTGAGTGCAGAATCAGTATCTTTCTCAGACATTGTCTCCACACACATGCCACATGCCACATGCACACATACACACACACTCACACATGCACACGCTTTAGAGAAATGCCTGCTTGTTCGCTGTCTGGTGGTGGTTCGGTGCTTGTTACATGAGTGGATGTTTGACTGAACACACACCACCTGGCTGTTTCCAGCTTGCTTGTTTCTGTCCAGTTTCAAGCACTGACCAAAGAGAGAACACGCACATAGAAGTCCTTAGACCTCATGTCAAGTGACCCAAGAAGGACACTTTTCAAACCCAAGTGCCGCCTCCCCTTCACTGGGAGCAGACTCTAGAAGGAGACTCTGTGTTTGACCCTGTCCCAGCTGTCTGACTCTCATCACGGTTCTGCACTTCCTTGCACTTCCGTTTGTTTACCTGAGAGGTGGGGTAATGGCTGTGCCAGTGACTCTGAAGCCATCACCTCCCTAGTGTTCCAGAACACTCTGTCCCCTGAAAGAAAACCCCGCACCCACTAAGTAGTCACTCTCCATCTTCTCCCTCTGCCCGCCCACCCCAGACCCCTGGCAACCACTCATCTTCCCTGTCTCTGCGTGTTTTCCTCTTCTGAGCATTTCCTACTAGTGGAATTATACAAGATGTGGCCTTTATTCCTGGCTTCTTTTGCTTAGCCTAAGGTTTCAAAGTCACCGTTACTTTTTTAAATTCTCCATTTGGGATGAGCTTGTTGAAGGGTCATTGACTTTCTCCCTCTGGAAATGTTAAGCAGATGAAAAGATTCTTTCTCTTTCCATTAAGTATTAAGCTGTTGTTGGTCAGTAGCAAGAGTCATTTTCCTCATATTGCTGTTTTTTCCAACAGCTCTTTCAACTTCCACCATCCTAGAAGATGTTGACCACCCAACTGCTTCATCAGGTAGGTCTGTGAACTATGAGTTCAAATCATGGATGATGGGTGCAAAGGAAAAAAAAAAAAAATGAGTGTATGCCACCCTCAGCATTTCTAAGCTCAGAAAACCAGTTGCCATTAGTTGGTTCCGACTCATGACAACTCCACGTGTGTCAGCATGAAACTGAGCTCCACAGGGGTTTCAGTGACTGATTTTCCAAAGTACTTTGCCAGGACTTTCACCTGCGGGGCCTTTGGGTGTACTTGAGTCACTAACCTTTCTATGTGAGGATGGGTAGAAAGTCACTGCTAATGGGATTGTGCATGGCGTCCAGGGTCACCTCCAGCATGACATTATAACTCCATTAAGGCAGGAGGCAAATACTGAACATACTGTGGACCATCAAAAGGACAAACAGATATGAGTTAGAAGAAGTACAGCTAGAACGTTCCTTAGCAGCCAGGGTGGCCAGACTTCCTCTCTCATATTTTGTACATGGTGCCGGAGTGACCAGTTCCTAGAGAAGGACATAATGCTTGGTAAAGCCAAAGGTCGGTGAAAAAGAGGAAGACCTCCAACGAGATGGATTGGCACAGTGGCAGCAGCAATGGGCTCAATCATAGCAGTGATTATGAGGTTGGCACAGGACTGGGCAGTGTTTTGTTCTGTTGTGTCTAGGGTCACAATGAGTTGGTATTGACTTGACAGCACCTAACAACAACAAAGTCGGGGGTTTACCTGTCTTCCTCATCACCGTGTCCCTAGAATTAACAGTGTCTGGCACGTACATACCTAATAAATGTCTGTTGCTTGAGTAAACAACTGTGCAAGCAGTTTGTATGTGGACAGGCGGTTTGACCCCTTGTGGGAGAAACTACAACAGTCCAGCTAGGCAGTGTCCAGAAAAGGCAAGTTCCTCTCTTTGAGAAATGGATTCATTAACACAGGTGTTCCTTTGGAAATGGCCAGTAGCCTTTACTTGTATTGCTATGTTAGTATGGCATCTGTGAGCAAATGAAACCAGACCCTTGTAAATGGTGTTTCTGTTTTTCAGTGTCAACAGAGAATAAAAACGTGCCAGTCGTCTTATCGGGTAAGACCAGTGATTAAGTGTGTGGTTGCACAGGTCTGCAGCCTTACCATCAAGATGAGAGGAACAGATACATCATGTTGCCATTGAGTTGCTTCCAACTCATATGAGTCCAGTCATGCACTGTTGTTGTTACTGAGTGCCAGCGAGTTGGTTCTGACTCACAGCAACCCTGTATAGGATTTCCAAGGAGCAGCAGATGGATTTGAACCACTGAACTTGCAGTTAGCGGTCGAATCTTACAGTGTCATACCAGGACTTGTTAAAGGACATTATACTTATTTTCGTTTTAAGGCATGATATATAGAACGTCTTTCCTGGGGTCTTCCAAGACAATCAGCATCCTATGAACCACACAATTTCTGGACCTTTTGTCCCATTCTTCATTGATTGGTTTTTCTACTGCTGAGTAGTAACCTCACACAGAGCCTTGAATGGGCATAGGTTATAAGGGGAAAGGCATTTGGGAACAGCAGCAGCACAGCTTTCAATGAGCCATGTGAACTTGACTCCAGTCTCACCAGGAGCCTGGTCATTCCTTATGGCCATGCATCCTCGTCAGATGCTTGTGGCCATGGCCAGTTCCAATGTTTTAGACAAGGCATGGCATGGCTGGTGACCCTTCTCCAGCTCCTGGTGGAGTGATTTCCTTGAGTCTATACCAGGATTTACACCCTTGGAAACCCTGTACAGGGTCGCTATGGGTCGGACCCGACTCGATGGCACTTCACAACAACAACAACAACAATACCAGGAAAGAAGGTAACAATCCTAATGATCGTTTCTATGCTTTCCTAGTTCTGCCCGTGGCTGACTCAAGACCTGCCAGCCGCAGAGCCAATGTGCCAGCGCTTAGCCCACCAGGTAAGCACCTTCCTTACAGCACACACAATTTCAATGGGTTATAAGTGAGTCACCACAACCCTGAGAGGACCTACACAGTGAGAGCCACTGGGACCCTCAAGAATAAGGAAGCAGGAGTCTCCAGGACTGGGGCAGATAGCTAGACCTCCCACACAAATTAGCATCTGAGAGCCCTAATCTTTCTATTTTTCAGGAGAACCATTTCATAGTTCAGAAAAGATTGAGACTAACAACCGATCTCCTTAACCTAGACATGGCCGATGCTTAAACAGAACCATAGTGGGTTCCCAGTCTTGAAAGAAAACATGATAGTTCAATTGCTGTTGTCATTGTTGTTGTTGTTGTTGTTGTTTGGTGCCATTGAGCCGGTACTGACTCATAACAACCTTTGCACAGCAGAACAAAACACTGCCCAGTCCTATGACAACCTCAAAATCATTGATATGCTTGAGCCCATTGCAGCTGCCACTGTGCCAATCCATCTCATTGGGGGTCCTCTCCTTCACCAACCCTTCCTTTACTAAGCATGATGTCTTTCTCCAGGGACTTGTATCCTCCTGATAATATGCCCAAAAAGACAAAATCTGGCATTCCTGGCTTCTAACAAGCATTCTGGCTGTAC